AATTTTAGTCTCTACTAAATCCAAAACAGGGATTAATGAAGAATTCTTGCTCAAAGTGAAGAATAATAGTTTCAACATTACTCTTGTGGAGGAAAATTGGAGATCTAATCCTTGGTGGCTGAATAAGATTGATAATTCCAGTGTTGATTCAGAAGTAAGCTCAACAGCTTTCAATTTCGGTGATGATTCCTGTGAGCTTGACGGCAACTTTTCAAACGGTCAAGAGGAAGAGGAAATTCAAACACCTTGCAGAAATGTCAATGGCATTAATTATCTTGACAAATTGTGTGTCTCAAAGACATTTCTTGAGGAAAGCAAAGAAATTGAGGACTTTCTGTCTAATCACATTCAAGGAAAACAGAGAGAGGAGCGTGCAAATGGGAGCCATACCAGAGTCAGCAGAATTCAATCACTAGACGAAGAGGTTGTCCAAGAAACAGCCCAATCCAAAAGCCCACTTGCTAGCAAAATCAAGGCCCACTCGGCCAAAGGAGTAAGTGAATCGGACTTCCAGGGGAGGTGTGGGCTTATAACTTCTAAAAGCCCCATCAAAAGCTTCAAGATAACAGAAGAAAAGAAAGCAGAAATACCAAAGCCGGTGACAGGAACTACGCGCGGAAGAAGAAGAGCTTTGATACAGCTGGTCAGCCTGGGCGGTACATCACCAAAAGGTTCAATAACTGACAGTGATATTGTGTGTAACAACAAAAGGATCAAGGAAGGCATGCTACTACAGGAGGCGAGGAAGACTTTGGAGTTTGGGGGCAATTTAGGGATCGAGATCTGCAACAGAGAAGACCAGATTGTGGAAAGATTTAGCCAGATGGAAGAAAGGGACAGACGGGGGCATGCCCGCCAACAATAACGGTAGGCCTATTCTCAATTTCCAGAAATTTTGGCAATGAAGTTGATCTCTTATAATGTGAGGGGGTTAGGTAGTTCGGTCAAAAGAAAAGAGGTGAGGAGTTTGATTAGAAAGGAGGAAATAGATTTAGCTTGCTTCCAGGAAACAAAAATGGAAAGAATTGACAAGGAATTTTGCATGTCTATTTGGGGAAGAGATAATTTCGACTGGGTATATAAGGCATCAGTGGGTAGATCTGGTGGTCTTCTATGCGTATGGGACAATGAGGTTTTTGCAAAAGAATCAGTTATGGAAATTACAGGCGCATTAGCTATATATGGATTTTGGGGAGAGAAGAAGAAGTGCTGCATTGTAAATGTCTATGCGTCATGTAACAGGAATGAAAGGCTGGAAACATGGACAGAGTTATTGAAGCTGATCGAGGAAGGAGAAAATTGCTGGTGCATTGCCGGAGATTTTAACAGCGTGAGATCAGCGGATGAGAGAAGAGGAAGATCCGAGCATCCTAACTACGGGGAGGACCTCAACGAATTCATTGAAATAGCAGGATTGGTTGATTTACCACTAACAAGAAGGAAATTTACTTGGTACAGGAGTGATGGGTCAGCAAAGAGTAGGCTGGATAGATTTCTTTTATCTGATGGTATGATTAATTTCTGGGGTGATTGTTGCCAAATTGGACTGAATAGAACGACATCTGATCATTGCCCATTGATGTTAAAGAAGGTCAATAGCAATTGGGGCCCAAAACCTTTCAGGACCCTAAATTGCTGGGACCAACATCCAGAATTTGTCAAAATGGTTGAGGAAAATTGGAATTCTGCAGGGGTAGAGGGATGGAAGGGGTATGTGTGCAAAGAGAAGCTCAAAAGATTGAGGAACAAATTGAAGAAATGGAACAGTGAAGTCTTTGGAAGTTTTGAGAAGCAAATCGCAGAGGCAGCAGCAAAAATCAATGATGTTGACAATAAGAATGAGGACGGCGAATTAACAGAGGAGGATATCATGCTAAGAAAGGAAGGCTTTAGTGAATTATGGGAAGCATGGAAAAGAAGAGAAGTGGCATGGAAACATAAGACAAAGCTCGACTGGGTAAAGCAAGGAGATGCTAATTCCAAGCTATTCCATAGAATAATGAACAGCAACAGGAGGAGAAAAATGATTCGGGGCATATACAAAGATGGAGCCTAGATAGAGGAACCGAGTGTGGTGAAGCAGGAAGTGCGTGAATACTTCAACAAAATCTTTCAAGAAGAGCAGTGGGATAGACCGAAACTGGGTGGATTACAGTTCAAGCAGCTAAATGAAGAAGACAGCGTTTGGCTAGAAAGAGAAGTGCCAGCAGAAGAAGTGAAACAAGCAGTGTGGGATTGCGGAGGAGACAAATCTCCTGGTCCTGATGGATTCAGTTTCCATATTATCAAATCCATTTGGAATGTGATCGAGAAAGACATTGTCGAGTTTGTCCAAGAATTCTTCAGGAACGGCAAACTAGTAAGGGGGATAAACTCTTTATTTATTGTTCTTATCCCAAAAAAAGATAATCCTATTGATTTAAAAGACTACAGACCCATAAGCCTAATTGGTAGTCTTTATAAAATCATTTCGAAAATGCTGGCAAATAGGATTAAGAAAGTACTACCCAAGCTGATAAGTGGGACACAATCAGTATTTTTGGGAGGAAGACAGATCACAGATGGTATTCTGATTCTCAATGAAGTGGTAGAGGAAATCAGGAGGAAAAAAATCAGCAGCTTCATATTCAAAGCAGACTTTGAAAAGGCATACGACAGTGTGAATTGGGATTTCCTGGATGAAATGATGAGAAGGCTCGGATTTGGGGAGAAATGGAGATTGTGGATTAAGGAATGCTTGCAAACAGCTTCAGTATCAGTGCTTGTTAATGGAAGCCCAACAGAAGAATTTAAAATGGAGAAGGGGTTAAGACAAGGTGACCCGATTGCTCCGTTCCTCTTTCTTATTGTGGCCGAAGGGCTGAATGTGTTAATCGAATCAGCTGTCAACAAAGAACTATTGCAAGGAATTCTTGTAGGCTCCGGAGATCTTAACATCTCACATCTTCAATTCGCTGATGACACTGTTATAATGGGGAAGGCAGAACCGGGCAATATTAAAGCAGTGAAAGGAATTTTGAGATGGTTTGAACTAATCTCAGGCTTGAAGATTAACTTCAACAAAAGTGTCTTGTACTCATGCTGTGTTTCGGAAGAATGGACGAGAATGGCAGCAGCTAATCTTAATTGCAAATCTGGAGAGTTTCCCTTCACTTACCTTGGGATGCCAATAGGTGACAGTATGTGCAGACGAAAGCCTTGGACTCCAGTTATTGACAACTTTAATAAAAAGCTGGCAGTCTGGAAAGCGAAAAGCCTGTCGATTGGTGGCCGACTTACATTGCTAAGGTCTGTTCTCTCTACCCTCCCAATTTATTTTATGTCCATTTTTAAAATTCCTAAGATCGTGCTTCATGAACTTGTGTGCTTACAAAGAAAATTCTTGTGGGGTTATAC